GCATGCTCTTCGGAGGCTTTAGATCTCAATTAACGTATCAATATAAACACTTGAAAGTTGTTTATCACGACCTGTGAATAAATACCTGATTTCTGTAAATATCTTGCTTCGCAGTGACACGTCGCCAACTTTGATCCTCATATGCGGATCTTCACCAGTTTGAGGTTAATACAAACTATCAGTTACCTATAGAAATGCAATGTCATTAAACCAATGGTTGGTTTTGAATGACCTTGGTACCTTGTACCAAATATCCCGGAGTATGACATGTCATACTCCTGAAGTGTGAAGTGTCACACTTCATGTAACCAGGGTACACTTAGTGCTACGTACCCCGTTACATATCGGGAGGGTTTACGTGACGGCTTATTGTTGCCTACTTGCACGACTGGGAGTGCTTGAATTGCCTCCCTTTTATTCTTCCAACCGAGTGTTCAACACTCGGTGCCCTCGTAAAAGGCTTACCCGTGCCTCGTACGCTTCCGATGTTGGGACCACGAGGATTCAGAACACCTGCTAGCTTTGCTCGTGCTAGTAGCGTGTTCTTATTTTACTGGTTGGCCTATATAAGTAGTTTACAAGGTCCAGTTTGTCCCGGTGCAAGGGCAGAACCGAAGTCTTCAGGTCCGTCCGAACGATCGTTTACTATCCTAGTAGACGTATTGTTGTGGGAACGTTCTAACTACATTTGTAGCTAGAGCTCACGTGGGAATTCCAACACCACACGGGTGTGTTCGCTTGCGCGGCACCAAAGTGGTGGTGCCTGCAGGTCGGACACGGACGTAACAGAGTATACTGGAGCAGACTCTTGCGCCAGCATCTTCTTTGGCGAGCTCGTTGCGAAATGAGCTCGGGGATCTCAAACGTTTTGACGGTCTCGTCAATTCTTTTAATGATGTGTTAAGTCTAGTGAGTCTGAGCTAAACGGGGGGGGGTAATGGGGTTACACGCAAGTGGTTACATGTAGCCACTTGATTACGAAAAAGGGTAAGTCGACGTAGTTACAGAGTGGGCCCATTACAGCAAAACCACTCTAATGTGGTACTTCAACAACACGCGTTAGAGAACTTTAGTTTCTGGAATAACGCAAGGCTGGGAATAACGATTATCTGGATAAAATCTGAGTAAATGACGGATAGATTACCGATCGATTCTCCAATACTTTATTCCAGTCGAATAACGCTATTTCACTGGAATAATCTAAAGTTCTCTTTTGTCGTGGGTTGTGTTGTGCTACCACAATTTGCCACAATATGATAGCAAGTCGTAGCTGCGTGTTGTGCCAATAGTCTTTTCGATTTGACAAATGTGCGAGAAAAACATCACCTTGGTTTGGAAACTGACGCGTTTCTTAAATTCCAGAGCTTCTTTGGCATGATGCTTTTTATGTTAAGAAAGTTTTGCCGGTATACTTATATGTGCAAAGCTACTATTCCATGGAATTCGTGGATCTATGTGCTCGACGCGCTTCTTTGCATTTGCTTGGAATGCTTGATTGAACTACGGTTGAGAGTGTTTGCTTCTTGCTGAGAAGCTTTGCGCGTCCGTGTCCAATTTTCAGAAGTCTATAATTAGGCAAGCTAACACAAATACTAACTGTAGTATTGATCTCTTGCCACTAAAAGCTGGAATATGAATACTTTCGAGAAGCGAACAGCTTTGATCAATCGATCAGCCACGAGCGGAACTGGTATTGAGCAGGGTGCACGCGATCAGACACCCATGTGGTATTCATTATAGTACGGCAGGTGGTGACGAGATTCAACGCCAACAATACCAATGCACGTGCGTTACCGAACGGACCTTATATAAGCTGAGGACATTCAATCAACGTAACCATGGTTTCGCTCGGGGAGACTACTGTTGTTTGTTTGCTTTCTTGCAAACGATTGCCTTTCAGACCACCATCCACATAGATCGAGATCACTACATTTTCGTAATGCGAACGGATACAAAGCAAAACGGGTCACAATAGTAAGATCTCTCATGGTGTAGGGAGGTTGACGCTTATGCGCGTTCAATTTAGGTAGGGATGACGTGAATGCCCGTTGAGCTTCAATGACACAAATTCAAGACTTGATGTTCACGTCGCCTCGCCGTTTATTTTGAGATGCGCTGCTTAAAGTGAAATGGGTGCAGAAAGCCGAAAAAGGTCTTATTGAAGTCATCAAATGGACGCTAATGTTGACTGAGTGTTGATAGATAACAAAAATTGGTATAATAATCGCGATCATCAGACGATGGCCCATTTCGAATGTTGATCCGAACGGTCTTCACTTTGAATTTTGCCACGAACTGAGCCGCTACGTGCAGCGGCCAAGACGACATCTACGAGTCCGGGACTTGCCATTACCTGCTATGGGGAAACCCACCCACAGCCCGGGAAACACCGGCCTCGAGTCAGTCATTGCAGGCGTCGTGTCCGGCTGCATCACGCGCTCCTGCACTTCTCCTCTCGACGTGCTTAAGATCATTATCCAAGTAAACGGCCCCGTCCCGACCCAGACCACCGTTGCAGCAACTACCAATGCCACCAATACTGTGGTTTCCATGGCGTCCACACTTGTGGCCGCCCGCTCCATTGCCGTAAAATCGTCGGCGTCCTCCGCCATTGCGCGTACCGTTCGTGATTTGTACGCGCTGGACGGCGTGCGTGCCTTCTGGCGAGGTAACAGCGCCGGCTGCTGCCGCCTCGGCCCTTATGCGGGCCTCAAGTTTTACCTCTATGACTCGCTGCAGGCGAGTTTCGCCGCCAGAGAGGGACGCGAGCTCAGTAACTGGCAGCGCGCGTTGTGCGGCGCCACCGCCGGCCTCATCGCCACCATGGGCACGTACCCGCTCGAAGTCGTGCGCACCCGCATGATCTCGCAGACGACGGCTCCGGCTGCTACCAACAGCGAGATCCGCGGTGTGCTACAAGGCGTAAAGCTCATCCTGGAGCGTGAGGGGCTGCGTGGCCTGTACCGTGGCGGCTGGTCTGGTGTCGTGGGTGCCATTCCGTTCGAAGGCGTGCAGTTTGGCTGCTACGAGTACTTAAAACTGACGGCTATTCGCCACCAGTGGCCAGCTTATCGCTGGCCGGAGGGGAAGACCGACATGGACGGACTCGACTACTTCGTGTGTGGCAGCGTTGCTGGTGCCATCGCCCAAACTGTGGCGTATCCATTCGATACTGTGAAGAAGCGTCTGCAGTTGCAGCAGGTGCACCTAAATGTATCCAATGTGGGACCATTAACTGCGGAGGGGGGCAGTCCGTCGACGCTGTACTATCGCGGCATGGTGGACTGCTTCCGTAAGGTTATCCGTGACGAAGGTCCCTTGGCACTATACCGTGGCACGGGCGCCAATCTGGCCCGCATCGTGCCGTACGCTGCCGTCATGTTCTCTACGTACGAAACAACCAAGAAGACTCTGCGCGTGCTAAGTGGCCGTGAGTGAGTGTGAAGAAGAGAGAGTCCCCCCATGATATTTATTAGTCTTAGTGAGTTAGTGAATGATTCTGTGCCAGAGGCTCAGTGAGCTGCATCCCGTGCACCTGCAAACGTTGTTTATAATTCTAGGGGAAGGGCGCTTGCAAGCAAATGCATATACCAAATTACTACGTAGTTCTGTAGTATTAAATCAAGCTGCATTGCCAATGTCAACATCAATCTAATTTCTCCTTTCCGATCAGAACGGGCCAATGCAGCGCTCTACCAGCTCAGGATCCAGCGCCTTGTTATCACCAGTGATGCTGTACAAACAGCGGAACAGCAAGGCACAGTGATCGCGAATGGCTTGTAGTACCTCAGCCGTCATCGGTTTAAGTTGGTTTCCCTCCAGGATTGGTTGCAGCCGTTTCGCCATCCAGTCTGGGTGTCTGCCATCACAGTATCCACACAATAGCTGGATGAAATATGGCACAGAGTCCTGTCGTCCTCGCTGCAAAATAGGGAGAAACTTGTCCGCATCCAACAGTAGCAGATTCAGCTGCACGTATCCTTCAAGTAGACTGTAGTAATAGCCCGTGTAGCCCAAGCCACCGAAAGGTTCAATGCCCCATGTTGTCGGGTCCAGCGAATTCCCCGCGTCGTCCGCTGGCGGCCTTTTGTGTGTTGCCGCGAACTCCTTGAGAGCATCTACGAGACAGCGAGCGAAATGCGCCACCTGTTTAGCCTGTGCCTCTGTCGTCTCGTAGCGGTAGTGCCGGTTATTATCGACTGCCGTAGACGCGTAGATATCGCCTAGCGTTGACCACGGCAAGCGATGCGCCTGGTGCGTAAACCGTTTTCGGCACTCGGCATCGTTTGGACCAGACAGATCTAGTGATGGGGTGAAGTCCGAGGCGCTACCCTCATAAACCTTTCTCAATCCACCAGATTTAAGCGGCCGTTTCCCAGTGGCGGTGGCCGATGCAGGTGGAACGACCTCCGGATGCACGATACGCACACAGGAGCGACAGCGGTTTAAGTTGGTTTCCCTCCAGGATTGGTTGCAGCCGTTTCGCCATCCAGTCTGGGTGTCCGCCATCACAGTATCCACACAATAGCTGGATGAAATATGGCACAGAGTCCTGTCGTCCTCGCTGCAAAATAGGGAGAAACTTGTCCGCATCCAACAGTAGCAGATTCAGCTGCACGTATCCTTCAAGTAGACTGTAGTAATAGCCCGTGTAGCCCAAGCCACCGAAAGGTTCAATGCCCCATGTTGTCGGGTCCAGCGAATTCCCCGCGTCGTCCGCTGGCGGCCTTTTGTGTGTTGCCGCGAACTCCTTGAGAGCATCTACGAGACAGCGAGCGAAATGCGCCACCTGTTTAGCCTGTGCCTCTGTCGTCTCGTAGCGGTAGTGCCGGTTATTATCGACTGCCGTAGACGCGTAGATATCGCCTAGGGGGTACCACGGCAAGCGATGCGCCTGGTGCGTCGCCATAATAATGGAATTAAAAAGAATAAGAATCAGTGATGCTGTTTTTATTCTTTTTGCAGTGACTTGCAAATATATCAGATTTTGGCTAACTAATTAAAGTTAATTTGGATTCAGGATCATCACATCCGGAAGTTTATCAAAGGTCCAAGGGAACGAAAACGGGGTGCAGTACTGCACCTGGTACTTCAGTGATACCCTACTTAAATGGAGGTTGGAGTGTTCGTTACCGCCAACGGAATAGAACCACAGAAAAAGACCTTCGAATCTTAAACATGTCCGTCACACAAAATTGTCGTGCCTGTCACGCTTTTCCGGACAAATCATTGGATAAAATAATTGAAATATTTCTACTGGCTGCCGAGCGCAGCGAAGGTGGCCCCGATTGGCCTAAAAGCTGCCGAGCGCAGCGAGGCTCGGCACCGTCTGCAACCCTGCGGGCCTTTGGGCCCGCCTGAGCCACAATTTGCCAACTTACCGTGCGAGTAGTGAAGCGGGCCCGTGGCGAGCGGAACGGAGGCAAAATACAAGGAACGACATTCATTCTTACCCGCCGCGTAGCGGCGGCACTCGGCTAGTATACAAAAAGTGTAGGACCACCAATTAAAACTGCACGATCACCAAAATAATTTAATCAGCTTCAACATTGGGACGTTGGCTTCCGAGAGTTTACAAACTCTCAGTGAACGGCAGCTCACAGGTCCCCTTTGCCTAAAGGGAGCGAAGTGACCAATTTAAGGTGGGCTGTAAACTGAGTATACTTATAGGTAAATAAAGCTTGGGTTTAATACATACTATGTAATGGGGTACGTAGCCCTAAGTGTACCCTGGTTACACGATTTGGGTTTAATACAAACTATTAGGTAAATATAGAAATGCAATGTCATTTAACCAATGGTTGGCTTTGAACGACCTTGGTACCTTGTACCAAATATCCCGGAGTATGACGTGTCATACTCCTGAAGTGTGAGGTGTCACACTTCATGTAACCAGGGTACACTTAGGGCTACGTACCCCGTTCCATCCTCCCCCACTTAGGTTCGGTTTACCGACTAATCAGAATGAAGAGGTGTTCGTCACAAACTCTCATTCTCAAGGTCGAAAACCATCGACTTGGCCGCGCGAGCGCGGCGGAGGCTCACTTCACAGTTAGAGCCTCGAGCAGCAACCTGTCGCTCTTCGTCTAGGTCTCCACTTCGACCGTTATCATGCCTCGTGGCACTGCAAAGAGCGGTGCTAAGACACGCTCCAAGGCTGCTGCCGGTAAGGCGCAAGCCAAGAGCACTAAGCCTCACGGCAAAGGCTCTGCACTCAAGGAGATAACTCAGGTGGCCTCCGAGGCGATCGGATCCTCGGGTGACGCGGCTGTGGACAAGCGCGCAAGCAGGCGCCGCAGTCCGTCGCCCTCATCTTCAGACAATCGTCCGAACCCTCGGTTCGTGGAACATGAGTTCAACTCGGGCAGTGAGGACGATGCCGAGTCCGAGAGCACTCACGATGCTCCTGTGGACTCTGTGGGAGGGCACAGCCCAGTGCCCAGTGAACACAAAGATGACAGCGTGCAGTCGCTCTCTAGTGATCAAGGTGATCACAGTCCTAGGACCTCTGTGCGCTTTGAGAGTCCGGCCGCCAAGGCTAAGGACGCTCCCAAAGCCGGTGGCGATGAGGAAGAGAATCCTCGCAAACGTCTCTCGCTTGCCGAGGGTCTTGCGCGCGCTAAGGCCTCTAAAGCCGAAGGCGCCAAGCCCTCAAAGAAGCGTACCGCCTCTAAGTCTCCGCTCCGCGAGGAGAAGGAGACTCGACGCTCTATCAGAGTCTCTTCGGCTCCTCGGAAGAAGAGGAGGAGGAGGGTCTATCGTTGAGCCCCGGGAGGTCTCGAATGACCTCGACCAGCAGCAGGAGGATTTCCAAGCTGCCCAGTGGGCGTGGGGGTTCGGTGGCGGCACCCGTCAGCCAGGGAGCTGCCATCAACTCAAGAGGGTATTGGCCTCCCGAGGAGAGCTCTGGGGCTGACCTCTTCTTGGAGGTTCTCGTCGCTCCTCGTGGCCTTGTGGGCGGCCACACTTCTAGGGGCATCTATGAACGAGCCCTTGTTCAGAAAGAACAGTTGTTCGTCGACAACTTGGAGGCTGCTCGGTGTGTGCTTCTCGCGCCACACCGCATTCCCCTTAAGGACTTCACGACTTGTCGTAAGAAGCCCGAGACCCGGGGTGGTCTCTATCCTGTTTGGGGATACCCCTGGGTTATGCCCGAGAGCTGTCCCACGTGGAGTTCTTGTGAGGACATGTTCTGGGCGTGGGTGGAGACTCTCAAGTACTCGCCCACGGAGTTATGCAAACTCCATGAGGATCAGCAGCTGTCCCACATCCTGGACCAGCGTGATCTTCGTGTGAGGTTTGCCCACTTGATTAGCAAGCGTATGCTGCCAAGGGACATCCTGAAGCGCGCGGCTTCTAGCGCTCACGATGAGCGCGGGTACGGTATGTATTCATCGACCGTACCCCGTTCGGGCAAGAAGCCCCGGACTACTTATGAAGCTGCCGTCGCTTCTGTTCCCAGATTGCGACAGCCTTCGGGCAGTCAATCAGGAGCCGTTCAATCGGCTCCCACGAGTTCTCGGAGTGGGCATAACCCCTCCACTTCACGAGGAGCTGTCGCTTACCGCGACGCCGTTGCTCCTGGAGGATCCGCTCCACGTGGAAGTGGAGTTCTCCATTCCGGTCAAGCAGGGGCGGAGGCGCCCTCGTACGAGTACGAGTACTCGGCGCCTCCCGAGAGCCACTCTCGTCCGAGTGCTCCGACTGCGGGTCCGACACAGGACCCTGAGGTTGACCGCCTCCGTCAACGTGTCCTCGTGCTTGAGATTGCACTTGGCCTTGGGACTGGCGGTAATGCTGCCACCCGGGGGCGAGCTCGCTCGTCTTGCGGGTCGCCTGGACCTGGTGGAGCGAGAGGTCGCGAGCCTGCACCTGCGGGTGGATCGCCGGGCCTCTTCGACCGATCTGGACGAGGCCTTTCGCATGATCCGACGGATTGAGGCTTTGTTGCCACGTCCGGATCCGCCTGCGGCACACTCCCAGACGTACGCGTATGGTGCGTACCCGGCGTACTCAGCGTACTCGGCGTATGGCGCCGGGGTCCGTTCGTATGGAGCCCCTCCGGCGTACGGTCTTGACCGCAGCCTTGCCGTCCCGACCGAGGCTTGGGTGCCTGCTCCGACGCCCTCGTCGACGACTGTGACCGGCCCTCGCTTCGAGGAGCTGGGTCAAGGGGGGTCTGCGAGTCAGCAACCCCCTGCGGGTCAAAGTACCGCTTAAGACGTCCGACATAGAACGTCGGGTGCGTCGTCATTGACTTTGGAAGGTCGATGGTGTACGACGCACCATGTCTGGCCAGGACTGCAAAAGATCCAATGAAGCGGTGCTTCAGTTTGTTGCTGCCGACAGGGCTAATAGTGTCTAGAGGTAGGTTCCTCGTGTCTAGCAACACTAAGTCCCCAACCTCAAATATAATTAAGTTTCCTCTTCCTTGTTTGTCCGAGTACTCCTTTTGTTTATCTTGGGCCGCTGCCATGGCATCGCGGACCCTGCTGACAATGTTCAGCTTGGTATCCATAAAGGATTCCACCTGTTTCCGCAGCGAAACTGGCCTCACATCCGAGACCTGGGAGGAAAGGGCTTTCCGAGCCTCTCCCCCACTTAGAATAGAGGAGTCAGTGTTTCCTCGAAGAGTGAGAGGCACTCTGGGGTGGCGGAAGCCGTTCAAGTAGAACGGCGTGAACCCCGGGGACGCGTGCACCGCGTTGTTGAGCGCAAACTCAACAACTGGAAGCTGCGTCGACCACGTACGTGGCGCTGCCGCGCACACACTGCGCAGAGTGTCCTCGAGCACTCGATTGACGCGCTCTGTTTGGCCGTCTGTCTGCGGATGATCCGCAGTGGACATCTGCAGACGAGTTCCCAGTAAAGGGAACAGCGTTTTCCAAAACGCAGCAGTGAACCGCGGGTCTCGGTCCGAGACAATCGTCTCCGGGAGACCGTGATAGCGGAACACGCCATCGACGAACAACCTTGCGGTTTGTTCGCCCGTCACAGTGACGGGAACTGGAGCAAGATGTACCATCTTGCTCAGCCGACACACGAACACCAAAATTCCGGTGTTGCCGTGTCCGTCGGCGGGAAGCCCAAAGATGAAGTCAAGACTCATCGACTTCCAACAATCAGCCGGTACGGGCAGGCTCTGTAGTGGAGCCGAAGAGTGCCCTGCGGGCTTGACCCGCTGACATGTTTCGCATGTCTTAACGTACCGGGCGACCCACTTGTACATGTGGGTCCACCAGAAGGCCTGAGAGACCGACAGGAAGGTCTTCGCGACCCAAGT